CTGAAATGAATGCACATATGTGTGGGGGTTTAATATATGAAAGGTAGTGTAGGAAAAGGTAAAACTATTCAAAAACCAGAGCTAGAAATGTTGGATGTGTAAAGAAAAGAAAGCCTTTGGATCTCTATCTCATAGTCCATACAGAAATAAACACTAGAAAAATTGAAAATTTAAATGTGAAATGCAAGACTTTAACATTTTTAGTAGAAAATAGAGGTAAATCTCTTTCTGACTTTGGAGAAAGGAAGAATTTATTAAAGCACAAAAATCATTAACCACAAAATAAAATAGTGCAAATTAAACTATATTAAAATTATGTATTTTTATTCATCAAAGACATCATAAATGTAGTGAAAGACATACTATGAACTGAGAAAATACTGCAACACCTATGACAAATAATTAGTGAGGCAAATATATAAAGATTCTTTACATACCAATCAGGAAAAGATACATTGCCTAATAGAAAAATTGGAAAATTATACAAACATGTTCTATAGAAGAAGAGTTCTTTATATGGATTATACATTATGTATGATGAAATACAAAGTGACTTTTCAGATGAATTAAGATATTCAGACCAGAAAGGCATAAGAAAGAGAAGACATTGAGTTTCTTTTACTTGTACCCCTCATGTTTCTGTCCTCTTCCCTCAACAATGAATGCTTTCCTTCAAAAATTGATTTTCCCATTCCACTGTGTGGTCACACATGCATGAGCAGAGTTGATATTCCAGAGCACTAGACTTTGCAGATATAAATTTTGATGTTTTGGGAAGGCAGAGGCTGGTGGATCATGAGGTCAGGAGATCGAGACCATCCTGGCCAACATGGTGAAACCCTGGCTATTAAAAATACAAAAATTAGCTGGGCATGGTGGCACGTGCCTGTAGTCTCAGCTACTCGGGAGGCTAAGGCAGGAGAATTGCTTGAATCAGGGAATCGGAGGTTGCAGTGAGCTGAGATTGTGCCACTGCACTCCAGCCCGGCAACAGGGTGAGACTCTGTCTCAGAAAAAAAAAAAGTTGATGTTTACACATGCATATGCCTGCCTACACACTCTTGCACTTACACACCACATATACTTGCATTTATTCTGGATATAGAAATTGAGCAGCTCTTTTATGCCAGGTATTATACAGGAATCTGAAGAAACGGCAGTGAAAAAGATAAAGTATTCCTGGAGAAAGACAGACATTGAAAAAAATCAACAAGCAAATTGTTATATTTGAAGATACCAATGAGAATAGAATAGCAAAAATAGATCAAATGATACCAGAATGGGCATGTTTACAAAGTTTTAAATTGTGTGATCAGAAAAAGCATTTGAGCAAATAATTGAAGGAGGTGAGGGTTTCAGTCATGCTTACCTCTCAGGGAAGAGAGGATCAGGCAGAGGGAATGGGTAAATGCAAAGACTTGGAGTCAGGAGTGTAATTGACATGTCTGAGAAACAACAAGGTGGCCACGTAGCTACAGTGATGTAAGAGGGGTAAAGAACAGCAGGGGAGGTTGTCAGAGAGTGAATGAGAGAGTCAAGCATAGGGCATAGGTACTTGTAAGCCCTTGCAAAGACTTTGAATTTAACTCGTAAGAATGGAGAGCCATCGAAGGATTTTGAGTAGAGAAATGACATGATGTGACTTACATTTTCAAATGGTCACCTTGGTAGATGTGGTCACTTGAGGCAAAGGAGGAAGAGGCAAAGGTGGAAGCAGAAAGACCCGTTAGGAAGCTATTGCATGACTCCACTAATCCAAGTGAGAGATGATGGTGGCTTGGCATAGGGTGGTTTGTGGGTAGTGAGAACTGTTTAGGTTCTATTTTGAAGATAGAGAGCCTATAGTATTTGCTGATTGGGTGTAACATCTATGAGAGGGAGAGGAGTCAAGGATAAAAAATATTCATTATGACAAGTATCCCTCAACTGATTGTTGTCAACCAATGTCCACCCATTAGCAGGTCATGCCCACTTTGCACTTGGTTTCTGCTTTTTTGTCTGTTATTTTATTCTTCCCCAAAAGAGATTCTAGTGTATGCTTTGACAAACTGAAAGTGAACAGTTCATTCTGAGAGTTTAACAAATTCCATGTCAGTATGCTAAATAAAAATTCAGCCATTACTCAAATTGTCAATTTGATTGAAAACAGGAGAAAGCCTCAAGCGCAATCTCCAGAGTTCACGCCTTTATTTTTTACTTCTTTTTATTAATTTTATTTTATTTAAAGAATTAAAAGATAAAATTGTATGTATTTATTGTGTACAAAACGATGTTTTAAAGCATATATACATTGTGGGATGACTAAGCCTAGCTAATCAATATATACATTACCTCACATAGCCATCTTTTTTTGTGATGAGAATACATTCATTCTCTTAGCATTTTCAAGAATACAATGTATTTTTAATTATAGTCACTACATTGTATAATAGATCTCTTGAAGTTATTCCTTCTGTCTAGTTAAAATACTGTATTCTTTGACCAGTATCTCCCTAACCCAACCCAACACCTTTCAACCTCCCCAGCACCTGGTAACCACCATTCTATTTTCTGTTTCTATGGAATCAACTTGTTCAGATTTTACATATTAATGGGATCATGCAGGCTGATTTCACTTAAAATAATGTCTTCCAGGTTCATCCATGTTTTGGCAAATTAATGATTTCCCCCCTTTCTTGGCTGACTAGTACTCTATTGTGTATATGTACCACATTTTCTTTATCTAGTTAGGTTGATTTGACATCTTGGCTATTATGAATAATGTTGCAATAAATATGGGAGTGCAGATGTCTCTTTGATATACTTATTTCATTTCCTTTGGCTATATACCCAGTAGTGCTATATATCCAAAGTGCTGGATCACATGGTAGTTCTATTTGTAATTTCTTGAGGAACCTCTGCTGTTTTTCATAATGTGTAGTGGTATATATCCAAAGTGGATATATATATAGCATAATATATATATAGCAGTGGTATATATCCAAAGTGCTGGATCGTATGGTAGTTCTATTTGTAATTTCTTGAGGAACCTCTGCTGTTTTCCATAATGTCTATACTAAGTTACATTCCTGCCAACAGTGTGCAAGAGTTCCCTCTTCTCCAATCCTTGCCAACACTTGTTATCTTTTGCTTTTTCCATCACAGCCATTCTAACAGGTGTAGGGTGATACCTCATTATGTTTTTTTAAAATTTAAATTTCCCAGATGATTAGTGATGTTGGACTTTTTATCATATACCTTATTGCTATTTCCATGTTTTATTCTGAAAAATGTCTATTCAAGTCTTTTGCCCATTTAAAAATTGTGTTGTTTTCTTGCGAATGAGTTGCTTGAGTTCTCTATATATTTTGCATGTTAACCCATTATCAGATGTATAGTTTGTAAACATTTAATCCCATTTCATAAGTTGTCTTCTCTCTCTGTCGATTGTTGTTTCCTTTGGTGTGCAGAAGCTTTTTAGTTAGATGCAATTCTATTTGTCTGTTTTTGCCTTTGTTTCCTTTATTTGCCTAGACCAATATCATGGAGAGTGGCTTTATGTTTTTAGATGGTCATCTTTCACTTAATACACAATCATTGTAATTTTGGCCTTTTAAATATAATTCATTTATATAAAAACTAATTGTTGAGCGATTATTACCTACCAGGCTTTCTGCAAGTGCCAGGGAATCCAGAGATAACAAAGGAATCTCCTACTCTCAAGGAGCCTGCCATCTAGTGGGAGATACAGGAATGTAATTGAGTAGAACACAATGAGATTAGTTGCACAATAGCCTTGAGAACAGAACAAAGTTCCAAGAGAGCATAAAGGGGTGGCACAACTTAATTTTATCTAAAAAATTCAGGAAAACTTATACAGAGAGGAGGAGTTTACAAGTAACTATGTAGGGAACTTTCATGGGCATTTCAGTTAAAGGAAACAATGTGTGAGGTATGAGAAGCATAAAAGAGACTGGCCCATAGGGTTGACTGCACATGTATGTGTTTGTTAAGGTTTGGGAGTGTGTCAGTGAATGGTGGAAGATGAGTGTGAAGGGAAAAGCAGTACTAGTTCTTGAACATTCTTATACATGACAATGAAAGATTGGAAATAAATCCTGTAGGCAACAGAAATTAGCAAAGAGGTTCTCAGTAGGGAAATGGCATGATTAAATTGAAGTTTTACAGGGATCACTTTGGCAAAGCTGCAGATAATAGATTAGAATGGAGGAGATCCTGGACTGGGAAACCGGTTGGTCCACTGCAATTGGCCTAACATTTGAGCAGTATGGGAAGAAAGGAGGAGACATCTTGAAGAACTACTTAGAAGATAGACTTAGTCCAGTCTGGCTGAGAATGACATGTGGGTGGATAGCAATGAGTCTAAGATGGTCCCTTTATATCTGTATTTGGAAATTAAATGGAAGAGAACACATTACTCCATGCTAAGGAGTAATACAAGGAGAAGTAGTTTGAATGGAAAATGTGTCCAGAGCTCAAGGACTGATTGTGTAGCAAGGTAGAAATCATTAAAGAGCCAATTTGAAATTTAGAATAAAGTCTGAAAAATCAAATGCGATTAGTGGAAAGTCTCTTAGAGGTTAACCTATAACTTTTAAGAAAATGTAGGAATTTATTTTCATATTCCTAATAGCAATGACAAAACCTTTAACTACACATATATTTAATAAATACATTTTATAGATACCTATGTAAAATAAAGAACAACCACTATACAGACTCAGTGACTGAAAAGTTCCAGTGCAGTCAGTATATTTGAATCCTACTGGGAGCATTGCAAATTAAAATTACATTTTGGGGAGACTATATGGCAATATATAATAAGAGCTATAAAGATGATCATATCATTTTACCCAGTAATCCTACTCCTGGCTATTAAAGGGAAGTAATTCAGTGTATATTAAGGAAATCAACCTTATAGTTCTGATTTTTTAATAAGTTATAAGAAAATGTTTAATGTGTATGTGTATATATTTATTCAAAGTAGAAATACGAAGGCTAAAAAAGGGAAGAAATTTAAATTGGTATTAAAACAATATTTAAAATGACCACAATTATGAGAACACATGTATGCCAATACAGAGTCACTGGAAAAATATTAGAAATGAAAACACCAGATGGTAAGATTATAATTTTCTTTTTTATTTGAAATAAGTTGGTATAGCACAACTTTTCGAAAGCTTTTATAAATGTGTGTGTTAAGTTGTAATAAAGCAAACATATGCATATAGACATGCTCAAGCCATTATTTAATTGTTTCTTGGGTACCTGGGGAGATTGGTTTGACGAAAGGGGAATAACTTGAATAAGGGTGGTGGAGAAAAAAGAAAGCAAAGGATTGAGAAACTCAGTGTGGCAGCAGCCTCTCTTCACCTCCTGAGAGAGTCAAAGGGTGGCACCAGGGGCTCATGATCCATGGTTGTGGAAGACCCATGTCACACTGGATGTCACATGAGGTGGGATAGAACACAGAGACCACCCCACCTCATTTCCTTTACAGTTTCCGTGCTGGGCCATGACAGTGAACAGCCTTCAGGCATGTCTACGGCGGAAGATCTATATTCAGACTGGTGGCAGGAGACAACACAACCACGTTTTCTTTTATGCATACATTTGGTTTCATTGACACATTAACCACAGGCGAAGGGGCAAAGGCCGCAAGGTTAGTATGAACAAGGAAGAGGGACTTTTTTTTAAAGAAAAATGAAAGCATCAGTATTGCAAAGATTTTCCATGATCCTACACCCACGTTGAAAGCCCCCTCTCACTACAGGAAGTGTGCTGACCATTGGAGGAATATAAGAGGTCCTCAAAGAGCCTGATCCTCACTCTCTCCCTGAACAGCTCAGCAGGACCTCAGCCATGAGACTTCTCATCCTGGCCCTCCTTGGCATCTGCTGTCTTACTGCGTACATTGCGGAAGGTAAGTCGAGAGGCTGTCTGTAAGATAAAGGACAGAGAGGCAAGGCAGGTGGGCACACACTTTGGGTTCGACTCAGGTTTTGACTGGAGTAAATGGCTTTTCCCAGATGAACCTTAAACTTCACATGTGCAAAACAGGAATGATGGTTTTGACTGTAGGGGCCTTCGTAAACTCCCAGAACAGGGAGAATTTGGTTAGTATCTGGGCTCCTACTTTTCCTAATTGGATAATTAGGGGTAAATTTTTTAACCACTCAGGGCCTGTGCCTATTTATGTATAAATTGAATTAAATAACAGATGTGATCACCTGAGATTAAGTTTAAATAAATATTATGGCTTATTTATTCATTTAATAACATCAGATTTCCTTACAAACTGTAATTGGTTAATTAATGTTGGCTCTGGATTAGAGGTGATGATTATAAATGCATTTGTATCTTTTGTCTATTTAATATATAGTTTGATAAATCATCAGAATCTTTGAGAGTTCAGTCACAATGTGGGGATGCACTAGAGGCTGTATGTTCTGGAGCAAATCAGTTTTCAACACAAAATAAGCCCCGAATGACTGGAAATTCAAACCTTCATACCCAGAAAATCAATATTACCTTAAAGTACATTGGGGATTCTGTTATTGCTACCATGAATATTACTATTTATGAGAAATTTTCTGGATTTGTAAGAGACCATATTATAATAAATACTAACAAATAGATCAGCACCTTATACACAGTTCAATAAACCTGCAAGACACATCCAGGTAAGATTTAGATATACTGAGCCCTTACCTGAGCATTCAGTAGATATTTCTTGAAGGATTACTTTTTCCTACAACTGGAGTAAATTTGTCAACTTATTTGTGCTCTAACTGATAGACTTACCCTTTGGACTGTGATATATAATTTAATCATGGGTCCACAAGGGAGTCCATGAATAAAGGTGGCTGGAAGTCCTTGAAATTGTGTGCAAAACAAAAAAAATTAATGATACAAAAAATCTGATTACTACACTAGGCAACATGCATTTTGCTAAGACAATGGGCATACCATTTGAGGGAGACTCAGGTCTGAGTAGGGGGAAGGGAGCTCTGTTAGAGCCTGAGAGGAACTGCAGACACTGCTGTCAGATTCCCAAGTTTTCTATTTGAGGGAGCTCAATAAGTCTCAGTGGTGCCTAGCTTCTTATGTACAGAAGTAAGGCAAAGCAGTCTCTGCTTTGACTCAACTCTGCAACCTGAGAGAAGGTGATGTTTTAAAGAACAGCATAGACACACAAACGTTGCTGAGAATAAGGAAAAGTCTTTGTGGTTTCAAGTATACAGTCTTGGGAGTTCATGTTAGATACTTCACAGAGAGAAATACTGTTAAAGCCCAGATTTTTGCTCTTTCACTGGCTTCAGAAACAATTCAGCATTAAAAATAAATTGGCAAAGGTAGACGGTAGGAATGTGCTGACTGGCACTGGGAGCGAAGGAAAGGGAAAGGAATGATGAGGAAAAGCAACATCCGTGAACACTCTTTGTTGAGTTCCATGCTTTAAAAAAATGCCTTCTGATAATAGCAACACGACAGAGCAAACTTGGTGGTTATCAGTGGTTACTTTAGATGCTTTTTAGCTGTCTATTTCTCTAGGAAGCAAAGGCCAGTGTCTATAGCTAAGGAGAAAATCAGCACTTAGAAACTTTGATTAGATTTTGCCCAACCCTTAACAGTATCAATGCTCCCAAGTTATTTTTCCTTTTGCAATGTAAGATGGTTCTCTAAACTTAATAGTGTAATTCCCCTTGGGCCATTACTACTGGGGATGAATATTTTAGGGCCGACTTCCTTTATATATACATTTATATGTATAAATATATATATAATATTACCTTTTACCATTTATTAATTTTTTTGAAGGAGAGTTTTTATTATTTTTATGTACAGAAAACTCAACAGTGTACATTTAACCCAGTTTAGTGGCAAGTTCTTCAGCCTTTGCTACTTCCAGCTTGGCAATGTGAGCCACAGATTTTTGACCCAGGATACTGCAGATATCATCATATCCATCATTGTAATTGGTCCTGATAGCTTCCACCAGCTTAGCCAAAGCTTCTTTGTCTTCCTGGTTAACCTGTGTGATGGTGACAGTGGTACTTCCTGTGGACTGGATGTCCCAGTCTTGCCTTCCTTCTCCTTGATAATGCAGTAAGGGAACCCCATTTTAGGACACAGGACAGGCAGAAAGATAACCAGCTTGATGGAGTCCATGCCATGTGCAATCACTACCAGCTGAGCCTTCTTGTTTTCCAGCAAGGTGGTGATGGTGCTAACACCTGGTCAAGGGACAGGTGGTTTCCTAGTGGGGACACCCCCTTTGCCAGCAGCTTTCTCCTCAGCCTGGGCCAAGAGTCTCTGCTTCTTCTTTTGCTTTGTCTTTGGTTGGTACTTGTAGATCAGGTTAAGTGGCTGAGTAGCTGTTTGGGGTCTAAGGCCTGGGTGAACCAGTTAATTGCAGATGGCACTTTCAACTGCTTATAGAGGATAGCTCTTTGCTGCTGCAACCAGATATAGTGGGGCCATTTCACTAAGCAGGTGAGGTCCCTTTTGGGCTGGATGTCCTGTCCAATGCCCTTCTTCACGATGGCAGGGGCTGGGGTCACCGTCTTTCCTTTGGCCTTCTTTCTTTTCAGCATTTTGGGAGGATGGCGAATGGAGACCGTTTACCATTTAGAATGAGAACACCTTTATTTAGTCAGTGAAAAACAAGCTTCCCTCCCCCACTAAATGTTGCCTTGCCTAGATTACTCTTCACGCATTAGTCTCTCACTTATAGTAACATATTTCACTATTTGAGATGATCTTTTCTGTTTACCTGTCTGTTGCCTGGCTCCCTCATTAGAAGATATGCTCTATGAAAACAATATAACATCTGTCTTAATAAAACATGTGGGACACAATCAGCACTGTTGTATAAAAGAATGAATGAATGTCACTGGAGCGACTGCTAGCTGTCCCAAGAGTCTAAGTGAAAATGTACACAGACATGGGATAATACCTTGTTAACGTCTCTCAGCATGAAATTCCTGAAACAATTATATTGATTGAATTTTTAAATTAGTCAACTATTTACTAAGAATGGGCAAGAGATTCAGGATGCCTATGAGTCAAATCTTCTCCCCAAAAGCAAATGGACTTATAGTCTCACATTCTCAGAGTAATTTAACAGATGATTGTTCCTATGATCTTGATAATTGCTTTATTTTTAATTGTCTGGTATTTTTTTCTCTCACCAGGTATAGGGAGTGAAGTCTCAGATAAGAGTGTCTGTGTGAGCCTCACTACCCAGCGACTGCCAATTAACAGAATCAAGACCTACACCATCAAGGAAGGCTCCTTCAAAGCAGTAATGTGAGTTTCCCTCCTCAGAAGCTGGGCTGGGTGGATAACTAGAGGTACAGAAATGTAGTTCATAGAAATGCTGCCCTCCTCAGGAAAAGTAGGCTAACATGGAAGAACACCTCAACTTAACCAATAACCTCTTTATTTTTCCTTATCAATCATGTCTATGCAGCCCAACCAAATAGAGATTATTGCAAAAGTTTGGCTGCCAAATAAAGAATAGAAGTCTGCCTCTATTTAGCTTAGCAGAAGAGTCGGATGAATACTGTGCACAGCTCTGAGGGCTGGGTTTAGAGATGGCTGGCCCATTCAGGGTTTCCCTGCAGGCTGCACTGGAGTGGGGGTGGCTCTTAGGGTTGAGTTAGGCCGAGTGCCATGCTTTGTCAGTTGCATATTTCAAGAAAATGAGTCAATGGACAACCTATATGATGACTTTCTTCTACCAGAATCTCATTTTGAGAACTAATAACTCTTCCCAACACATAATGGCAGGCTTTACTCTAAGATATGAAAATTGAACAATCACCTTTTATTCAAAAAATAAGATGAGTATTTTTGAATTTGAAAAGGAAGAGAATATGTAATAATAGAACTAGATAGCCTCAAAGGCTTTTTGTTACATTTGGTGACACGGATGAGAAAATGAGCCTGTGAATTATGGTGAACAAGGGGCTGGATATTACTTGCAGATATTTCTGCTTTATGTTAAAATAGATGGCAGAAGAAGGGTGCTCATTTATGATTTCATGGCTCAGAAAGACTGTTTCTTGCAGTAATTTCAGCACAAGATCTCTTCATGTCTGCTCTGATCTTAACTCCTGGCCCTAAGGCTTTGAGAATGTGGCTAACTTCACTTATGTTTTCCTTGTATTACAGTTTTATTACCAAACGTGGCCTAAAAGTCTGTGCTGATTCACAAGCCAGGTGGGTGAATGACATGGTCAAGACCCTGGACAGGAAGTTCAAGACCACAAATAACATGACCCAGACCAAGCCAACAGGAACCCAGCAATCAACCAATACAGCTGTGACCATGACTGCGTAGCCTCTGGCACCATGACCCTCTCTCCAGCCAGCCAGCTCATTTCACTTTATACATTCATGGACTGAGTTTATGCTCACTTTTTATGAAAGTACTGCATGAATACAATTATTCTTTTGTATTTTTCTTTTAAATGCCTTCTGCATTCACTTATATGTTCTAATGAATAAATATTTATTATTAAGAATAGTTTCCTAGGCTATTCATTATATGTAGGGAAAGGTAGTGTATCATTTGTGTTTGATTTCTGTCCTACCTATACCTCTTTTTGATGGTAACCATAATGGAAGAGATTCCGGCTAGTGTTTACCAGGGGTGGAAGCTATATTAATCACTCTTAGATTCCAGCTTGTAATGGTTCTTTACACACGTGTCACAGGTTACAGCTGTGACAGTGGCAACAATTTGAGATCTATTTCAACTTGTCTCTACAATAGAATTCTGTTTATAGAAGGGAGAAAATGATCCACTTGTCATTGGGTTCCCATTCTGAGGGTCCACTACTCAAAAAGTTGCTTCACTCAACTTTTTTTTTTTTCTGTGTTTTATTTTGGTTTCCTCTTAAAGGAATAGAATGACACAACTTATCCTTTTTTAGTCCCATTAGCAAAAAATTAGAATTTTGATATAAAGTAACTTTAAGTAAAAATCAACACCTTTTTAATTGGACAATAATCTCACTACCTTTATATAAGTTATGCTTTCTTGTATAACAGATTCATGCTGTCTTGTATGCTATTTAAATTGCTAATTTGTTTCATGCTTAGGGTTTTACTATCCAAGTAGCTGATGATATACACGTCCTGTTCTATCTGCCCCTAAATAGGAAAACCTGACCTTGTCTTCATAGTTTTACGTGAACTCACTCCACCAGTACATACTTACGCATGCCTAATGCATTCCGTATTCTTGGCTGGGCACTGGAATGCAATGATGAAACCTTAGGTGTTTGCCTTCTGGGGGTTTACACTGGGGAAACACACAAGTAAGCAAATGATTTCAATGCAGTGTGATATGTGCAATGATGGAGAAAGCAGAGCATGTGAGGGTTGAACACACAGTAGCAAGGCTGTCCAGATCTTAGCATGAAGGAAGGGTAGGCATAAGTTTCCCTTTAAAAATAGCCTTTATCCTGAGACCAGAAGGATGAGTCAGAGTTATGCGGAAGGTTTCAGTGCATTCTAGGCAAAGGGAACAAGCTGCACAGGCAAAGGCCTGCAGGTAAGAGAAATCCTGATGAATTAAGGAAATGCAAGTAGTTTAATATGACCAAGGGACAGCGCAGAGGTTAAGAAGTGGATGCAAAAGGTGGTGTGAGGGAGGCAGAGGAGATATTATGAAGGGCCTTGCCTGCCAGTCCAAAGAGCATGTACTTCGTTTTAAAGGCTGTGGGAAATGACATCAGCTGCCAGGTGGAAGACGGGGTGTAGAGAACAAGACAGGAGTCAGGAAGCCAACTGGGAGGAGGCTCTGGACCTGGCGACTTCTGAACTTGGTCTGGCATGATGCAACAACTTTTTAACCTTTACTTCATGAGTCTTTACTGCTTAGCCAGGGAGCACATTAGTTATGCATGACTGCGTGACTCAAGATGTGGCTCAGCTGTGAATGCCAAACGCCTTGGGCCAGTGACTCCTTTCACCAATTTCCTTGGTTGTATAGAGCCAGGGCTTGGATAGGAGAAAATAGCATTGGTGGAAATCACCTTATTACTTTCATTATTCATTGGCTAAGCTAAGGTTGGATCCGTGGGAACGCACTTGGAGCCAACCACCCAGAGGAAGAAGGAGGCTCATCTCTATTACTGCTTATTTCACCCTGAAATACCATTTATTTGGCTTTATTTTCTGTCTTACTTAGAAGTAGGTTAAAGACTATAACTTGATGCCTATGCACCTAGTGCCTGGGACATCATAGCCTTCCAATACATTTTTGTGATAGGTACGACCTTATATGTATCTCTACCTTATATGTATAGCTCTACTATAGCATAAAAAGCTATAGGAATATAGTCTTCTGTATATTTAAGTCCATCCTGGGGAAGTTAGGAAAAGTTTAGCTGAAAAGGTACCTTTGAACCTGAGAAAGAGCTTGCCAGGAAAAGACCAGGGTGGGCACTCCTGCCAGAGGGGCTAAATGAATGAAAGCACGGAGGTCGGGAAATGAAGGCACGTGTAGGGAAGCTGCTTGTTTCCAGGATGGGTGTGTTATAGGGCTCAGTGATTATAGAGGAAAGGTAGCTTGAGGCCAGACTGGGAAAGCCTGAGTACCATGACAAAGAATGGGATCTTAGACAGAGGCACCCAGTTTGCAGCATGGTCAGATGTGAGGTGGAGAATAACAATTTGTAGGAAAATGGTTGAGGGCAGTGGGAACCATTAGGCGATCATTGCCTCATTGCCTTGGTGCAGGTTAGAGGAGATGCTGGCTGGAGTCAGGTCGTGGCAGTGAAAATAGAGGTAAAGGCCCCAAGATAGTGCTGGAGTGGCCTGTTTACCCAATGGCAATGGGCATGAACCAGCTGGAGGGCTGGAGCCGGCTCTGAGGGTTCCAGCATGGGTGACTGGTTCCAAAACAGCACAACTCCTTGGTAAGACTAAGGTCTAAATTCTGGTGAGGCTACTAATAAATCCTGAAGAAAGTAACAAGCACCAAGGAGGGGGAGATGAGGAGAAGAAATAACCTGGGAAAGTGAAAGCCTGATTATCAGCCTTAATAATCAAGTTATTCAGACAAAATCCCAAACTACATTTTTATTCCCTTCTTATAGACACTTCTTTTACAAGAACAAGGTAAAAATAAGCCTGCATTTCTGTGAAACTCTTTATGCCCCTTGGAAAATAAAAAAGGTACATACAAATGGAATACAGTATCCGCCGGGTGAGTCACTGGTGCTATTTTAAAAGGGATTTGTCACATGGCAGTGGGAGGCAGAGAGCAGAAGAGATGAATCTGTAATGAGAGAAAGAGAAATAAGGTGAAAGAGGCTTGGAGTGGAGATCAGGGGCACCCAAGCATGACTAAAAGGTGATGTTTGATGAGGGAAGGTGAGGGAGAAGCCAAAGGGACTTTTTTTTTCCTTTTTAGGAAAAGAAGTAGTAAAAATTTGGACAGACTGCTGAGGTTAGAGGAGGGCTAGAGGAATAACCTGGGGCTATTATCCTGGAGGCTAGGAAGGAAATTTAGAGAAATCTCAGCTAAGAGAAAGTTCCTCCTTATCAGAAAAAATTTCAACCCAATACAGGTGATGTATGTTGATTTTCTGTCACACTGTGCTGCCTAGAGTGATTGCTAACACTGGATATATAATCTGCTTCTTTCTGGAACTTGTGATTTCTCTCATCAAAGTGGAATTGCTGAATGAGATATTTGGAAAGAAGTTTTACCATCAAGAATAAGGAAACAAAACACCACATGGCCAGATGGAGATTATCTTAATCGGAATCATGAGGTGTTAATTCTCTTAATCGGAATCATGTGTGATGGAAGAGTGACTCCCCTTTCTCTGAAGACTGGATGGAAGATTGAAGGTTGGGTGGGTGGGGAGGTTGATGAGAGAGTAGAGTATTAGAGAACTAAACCCAACATAGGCAGTAGATAAAAGAGGGAGGAGCCATCATGTGATCTCCCTCTCCCTCTCTCTCTTTCTCTGAATAAGAAGCTTGTGTGGTTGCCAGGAGCCTTAGCTCTGCCTGGGTTGTACACTGGCTCCACCACATACCATTCAGGTGGCAGTGGGGAAATTCCTTAATTTCTCAGTGCCTCAAGTTGCCTAACTTATATAAACAGAATAATAATAATACTAGTGCCGACCTTGAAGGCTTATTGTGAGGGTTCTAGCACTTAAAATAGAGCCTGACACATAGTACGGGCTCAGTAAGTATCAGCTTTTATTAACCGTGGTCAATGGAGTAGGATGCGGTAAAATGGAGGGTGAGTGAAAAAGGGAATAGATACATCAAGCATCTTCAAGAGTTCCTGATAGCTGACGATTCACTGTTTGAGACCTGTCTTCATCATTTAGGCAAACTGTGTTTTTCTATATTTTCTATAATTGCACATAACTCATATAAATCATAGAGTGGTCTATGAAATACTTATTCCATGAGACCCTCCATTAAAAAAAAGACTCTATGGTCAAATGTATTTAGGAAATGATAATAACATCCCACTCCTCTTGACATAGCATGTCAGAATCTCTAAGAAGTACTGTGGAATATATACCAATTAAATCTCACCTACCTCAGCGTTTCCTCAGGTGAATATGAGCACAGAACCACTTTCCATGTACTAGTTATTAATATCCTAGGAACATTTATTGAACACACATTCTTAAAGCATTGTTAGACCAAAAACATGCTTAGATCCATTATTCTGAAAGAATAATGCTACAATTAGTGTCTCTGTAAGCTGCTAGAGACTGGAGTCCCATTTTTGGAAATGTCTGTTGTTCTGGAGTTTGTATGTATGCTTGTGTGTGTGAATATGAGGTTCTCACAGACTCTTTGGTTCCTGTAGATTGTTAATTAATCAGTGCCACCCAAAGTACCTACCTACCAGCATGCACTGAGTACTGTATTAGTCTGTTCTCTTGCTGCTAATAAAGACATACCTAAGAATGGGTAATTTATAAATGACAGGGGTTTAATTGACTCACAGTTCAGCATGGCTGGGGAGGCACCAGGAAATTTACAATCATGGCAGAAGGGGAAGTAAACACATCCTTCTTCACATGGCTGCAGCAAGGAGAAGTGCCAAGCAAAAGGAGGAAAAGCCCTTCATAAAATCATCAGATCTCATGAGAACTCACCCACTATCATACGAACAGCATGAGGGTAACTTCCTCTATGATTAATTTACCTCCCACTGGGTCCCTCCTGTGACATGTAGGGATTATGGGAACTACAATTCAAGATGAGATTTGGGTGGGGACACAACCAAACCATATCAAGTACCTACTGTTCATAAGATGCCATACTAAGCATTCTTGGGGCCAAACTAGAATACCTGAAGGATCCTAACTTTCCTCTTTCAGTGTCTTTGCTTAGGCTCTTCTTTGTGCCTGGAGAGCAGCACTCTGCCTCCTCTTTCTTCCTTCTGTGATCATCAGCATCCATCTCAGATGCTACCTTCTCCAAGAAATCTTGCTTGTCCTTTGAGCCAGATCTAATTATGTGGCTTTTCTAAA